CTCTACCAGTGTGAGCCACAGTGCCACCTCCCTTTGAATTGTTGTTGTTTTTTCTCACTAGACAGTAATTCTTTTTTTTTTGGGGGGGGGGGTGGTCCGGTTGTGGGGCCTGAACTCTGGGCCTGGGCGCTGTCCCTCAGCTCTTTAGCTCAAGGCTAGCACTCTACCACTTGAGCCACAGCACTACTTCCGGCTTTTTTTTTTGTTTATGTGGTGCTGAGGAATCGAACCCAGGGCCTCATGCATGCAAGGCAAGCGCTCTACCACTGAGCCACCTTCCCAGCCACAGACAGTAATTCTTTTTATTTGTACTTTACATTTTCTTTTTTCTTGAACTGCCATGAAGGCTTTTTTTTTTTTTTTGCAATTTTTTTAATGGTGATTGATTACATAAATTTCACAAATTTCGCAGTATTGTGGGATAGTGATGCTTAGCTAGTCACAAACACATTCTAACCTACATGGGGCAAATTGTCCTTATCGTGGTCTATAACATTTATGAGTTCTATGAGCTTTGACAATAGTTATTTTTTCCACATCAGGTGATATGTACATTTCTTTCCTTTTGCTTAGTGTCAGTTGTTCCCTCCTTCCCGCTCATTCCCTCCCTCCCATCACTGCCATTGAGTTGCTTAGTTTGTTTTGAGTAATGTCCAGTGCAGCTGATGGGTCCGCTATTGTATTTTTTTTTCAATATATATTTTTTATTGTAAAGATACTGTATAGAGGGGTTACAATTAGATGAATAAAGTAATGAGTATATTTCCTAACAAGCATTGTTACCAGCCCTCCTTTGTTTTTCCCCTACCATCCCTTCCCTCTCCACCTCCCCAACTCCTCCCTACCCCTCACACCAGTTGTAAAGTTTGTTTTCAACATAGTGTCTTGTACATCTTATTGTTTCAAAAAAAAAATATGGAACGCTTCACGAATTTGCTTGTCATCCTTGTGCAGGGGCCATGCTAATCTTCTCTGTATCATTCCAATTTTAGTATTTGTGCTGCTGAATCGAGCACTGAATCATTGTTAATCCACCCTTTTTTTTTTTTAATTCCCCCTTATCTTTACCTTTGTATCTTTGTTCTTGGGAATGATTTGATAGTCCAGAAAATGTGGAATTCAGTTTAACAGTTTCTTTTTGTCAAATCTGAGTGATTTACCTATGGAATGGGTCTGGTTAAACTTCCCATTTCCAATTCCTTCCCATTCCTTTATGTCGAACTTGATTTCTGTTTTTTTCTTTTTTTGGTACCAGTCCTGGGACTTGAACTCAGGGCCTGAGCACTGGCCCTGAGGTTTTGTGCTCAAGGCTAGTGCCCTACCACTTTGAGCTCCATGTCAGCTTTTTTTGGTGCTTAATTGGGGATATGTCTCATGAGCTTTCCTGCCTGGGCTGGCAGGAATCTTTTTTTTTTTTTTTTGTCGGTCATGGGGCTTGAACTCTGGGCCTGGGCACTGTCCCTCAGCTCTTCAGCTCAAAGCAAGTGCTCTACCACTTGAACCAAAGCACCACTTCCAGTTTTCTGAGTGGTTTATTGGAGATGAGTCTCATGGCCTTTTCTGCCCCGGCTGGCTTTGAACCGTGATCCTCAAGTCTCAGCCTCCTGAGTAGCTAGGATTACAAGTACCTGGCTTCAGATTTTCATATCAGAAAGACTTCCCTTCCTCATCCTCTGCCCCTCATCACAATTATGAAACTCTTAATGAAAAGATACCTCTGCTTCATTTTAGGACATTATCTTGATCAGAAGAGGCTGAAGCAAGGGCTTTATCGTCATCCATGGGATGATATTTCGTATGTTCTTCCGGAACACATGAGCATGTAACCAAGCCAGGAAGCCTTCTGCAGTAAGAAGACAAGACCTCCTCAAGAAATAGCATACACATAGATGATTATGGAGCCTTCTATAGGATGGGTTAGGAACATAAATCGCCATTGGTGTACAGGCACCAAAGACCAACACCCACAGGCTAACATTCATTCAAAGCTTAATATTTTTTTTATAAGCATAGAAATAAAACCAAGCCAATACTTGTGACATTCGCTCTGCTACCTGCTGTATTTATTATATGGATACCTCTAAGCACCATCAGAATAGTGTTCTTCCTTGTAGGGTGTTATGATGTTGTTTTCTTTTTGCTACTAGTTGAACTTTTTTTTTTCTTCTTTGGAGGAAGGGAATGAAACTTTCAAGATTTTAATTACCTTATATGTCTAATTCTTTCAATGTCTTATTTTTCTGCTTCCCTTTTTCCTCCTCATACAACATGAAGAACATTGTATTAATCTGATTTGTAAGGATCTTTTTTTTTTTTAAGGTATATGTCAAGGGTTTGTTTAGGATCCCACTGGAATGTTCTGTGTTACAGATCACAGTCTGGCTATGTCAGGGGGTGGGACCATTGCATCCTTAGCCATTGTCACAAATATGTGGAATAGTAATTTAAAATGTAAAGTTGTAACATAGATGTGTTTTAGATGTAAACGCAAAGCAAAAAGCTGTGAAATGTCTTGTGTCTTATGTTCTCTGTATTTATGCAGCTGACTACTTGTCTGTTACTGAATTGTGGGATCAAAACACCATCTCCACCTCTTTTGCATCTGTAACCCACAAAGATTCTGGGCAGCTGCCACCTCAGTCTTCTCTATTATCATATTTGGTTTAAATAAACTATGTAGTAACAATGAAGGCATATTGCTGTCTCTATACCCTTCTGTATTCCTTTGTACTATACGTATGTGTGTGTGCCTGTCTTGGAGCTTGAGCTTCGGGGCTTGAATGCTATGCCAGAGCATTTTTTGTTCAAGGCTAGTGCTCTACCACTTGAGCCACAGCTCTACTTCAGGCTTTTTTGGTGATTAATTGGAGATAAGAATCTTAAAGACTTTCTTGCCTGGGCTGGCTTTGAATTGCAATCTTCAGATTCAGCCTCCTGAATAGCTAGGAGCCATCATTGTCCCACTTATACTTTCTAATAGTTTAAGTTCCTGAAACTATTTTTTTTTTATGTTCCACCTCTTGAAAAACAAAATAGAATTAAAGCCAGGTACCTCCTTATGAGGCTGAGATCTAAATATCACAGTTTGAAACCAGGCCAGGCAGGAAAGTCTATGAGATTGAGATTCTTATTTCCAATTAATCACACACACACACCTGAAAATGGAGCTGTGGCTCTAGTGGTAGAGTGTCACCCTTGAGTGAAGAAGCTAAAGGACAGTGCCCAGGCCCTGAGTTCAAGCCCCAATACTAGCACCAAAATTTAAAAAAAAAAAAAAAAGCTTCAAAAAAAAAGGAAATGGGGGAGGGAAAGCCCACATCTATATCACCACTCCTTTCTTCTTTTCTTTTTTTTTTTTGGGGGGGGGGGCAGTCGTGGGGCCTGAACTCTGGGCCTGGGTGCTGTCCCTCAGCTCTCTAGCACTCTACAACTTGAGCCACAGCGCCACTTCCGGCTTTTTTCTTATGTGGTGCTGAGGAATCGAACCCAGGGCCTCAAGCATGCAAGGCAAGTGCTCTACCACTGAGCCACCTTCCCAGCCCCTCTTCTTTTCTTTTTTTTTTTGTTTTTTGTCAGCCATGGGTCTTGAACTCTGTGCCTGGGCACTGTTTCTGAGCTCTTCAGCTCAAGGCGAGCACTCTACCACCTGAGCCACAGCACTACTTCCAGTTTAATGGGGAGGGTTAATTAGAGGTAAGAGTTGTAGACTTTCCTGCCTGGGCTAGTATTACAGGTGTGAGCCACTGGTGCCCAGCATCACTCTTTTCTTAATGTATGATAATGAAAGCTCTACTCAAATACACAGGCTGAAAGCAAACAAATCACTGAGCAAATTCTAAGTTCCATTGATTTACCTTTGAACTCTACTTAAAGTCTGTCTGGTCTTTATTTCTCCATCTGTCCTGGTACAGGCAATCCATTCTCAGAAACCAATGGTGGCTCATGCCTGTAATCCTAGCTACTTAGGAGGCTGAGAGCTGAGGTTCAGATCTGAAGTCAGCCCAGGCAGGAAAGTTTATGAGACTTATCTCCAATAAATCTCTCAGAAAAAAAGCTGGAAGTTACTCTGTGGCTCAAGTTGTAGAGGGCTAGCTTTGAGCATAAAGAAGCTCAAGGATAGCTAGGCCCGGAGTTCAAGCCAAGGACAACAACAAAAAAAAAGTTGAGGACTTCCACGTGGTAGTGCATCTGCTTAGCAAGCAAAGACCATAAGCTCAATCAAACTCCAGTAACACTGAGGGGGAAAAGTCAAATTCAGTCACTCTCTTACTTAGTTGCTTTTCTTTCTCTCTTTTTCTTTCTTTTCTTTCTTTCTCTTTATCTTTCTTTCTTCCTTTCTTTCTTTCACTTGAACTCAGAACTTGAGTACTGTCCCTGAGCTTTTGTGCTCAAGACTAGTGCTCTACTATTTGAATCACAGCCTCACTTCCAGCTTTTTTTGGTAGTTAATTAGAAATAAGAGGCCAGGACTTTCCTACTTGGGCTGGCTTTGAACTGTGATCCTAAGATCCCAGCCTCTGAGTAGCTGGGATTACAGGCGTGAGTCAATAGCACCTGGCCTTTCTACCCATATTTTAAAAATCACATGAGATGATGACTATGGAAGCATTACCTCATTTAAGCCTCGGTGGTATATCAAGGTGTGGGTAATATCCCCGCAGAAAACAAATACGTTCAGAGATAAGTAACAGCTTTTGTCTCCTTGGATAGGGCCAAGTTTTTGTTGTTTTTTTTAATGCAAGGCTACTTTAAAAAAAAATTTTTTTTTGTCTGCGTTGCTAAGCATCAAACTCCAAAGCCATTTTGTGATGGGCCAAGGTGATTCTTAATTTAAAAAAAAAAACGTTGTTAGGTGCAGGTAGCTCAAGCTTGGAAAGCCAGCCATCCCTGCCCTGCAGATGCAATCCGGTGGCAGGCAAGCCTAGCGGGGGAGCGCGAGGGCGCATGCGCGGCTCCGCCCCGCGCGCACTGTTTAATCCCAGAATCCCTCTGTGTCGCACCAGAACGGCCGCACCGTTCCGAGCCTCCGGAGGCCGGCGCAGCTGCGTCAAGATGGCGGCGGCGGTAGCGGCAGCGGCGGCGGCGGCGGCCGCAGCAGCATCCCTTCAGGTGCTGGAGATGGAGAGCATGGAGACGGCCACCACTGGAACAGCAGGGCTGGCGGCCGAGGTCCGAGGCAGCGGCACCGTAGACTTCGGGTCCGGGCCCGGGATCTCTGCCATGGAAGCCGGCGGAGGCGACCCGGGCCCCGAGGCCGAGGACTTCGAGTGCAGCTCCCACTGCTCCGAGCTCTCCTGGCGGCAGAACGAGCAGCGTCGCCAAGGCCTCTTCTGCGACATCACCTTGTGCTTCGGCGGCGCCGGGGGTCGCGAGTTCCGGGCCCACCGCTCGGTGCTGGCCGCCGCCACCGAGTACTTCACGCCTTTGCTCTCGGGCCAGTTCTCCGAGTCCCGCTCCGGCCGGGTGGAGATGCGTAAGTGGAGCTCGGAGCCGGGGCCCGAACCCGACACCGTGGAGGCCGTTATCGAGTACATGTACACCGGCCGCATCCGGGTCAGCACCGGCAGCGTGCACGAGGTGCTGGAGCTGGCCGACAGGTGAGCTAGGGCCATGCCCGCCCATCGCCGTCGTTTACTGCGCCAGCGTGTGTGGGGGGGGGGGGGGGCGGAGGCGAGTGGGGGGGGGGTCGCCACCGCTTCGGGCATGGACGTTGACCCCCCCCTCCCACCCCCCGAGCCCGGCCAGGGCGCCCGGTGCCTGGGGAGCTCAGACATTTCGTGGAGGAGAGACAAAGGCCATAATGACAAAGTCCGTAAGGTGATGATGGTTGTTGCGATGACATTAAAAACCGGTGCTAGGCTAGAGGAACGGCCTTTCCCAGGCGGTGACATTTCAACTGACCTCCTAAGCGTGGAGGAAACTAGCACTAGAAAACTAGTGCAAAGATGAGAGTGGGTGGTGGATGAACATTCCGGGCAGCGCAAAAAGCTCTCAGGCATGATCCTGTTTGGTTTAGAGAAGTTACTTGGGAATCTCTGCTGAGGCTTAGGTCAGGTAGATGTGAACGGGAGGGTGTGGGACATGAATTGGGATGAGTTTTACTGACTGCGACGGGAAGCAGGGTCAAAAAATACTCTGATTCAATCATTGGAAGAGATTAGCCCGCTGCTGTAGTGAAGGGATCTAGGTAGCAAGAATGGATGCTCTGGAGGAGAGTTCTGGCCTTCTGTTGCACATTTCTTTGTTTTGACAAATACCTATTGAATATCTATTATGCCTCAGGATGAGACCCTGGACTCTAAGGTGCTAGGAATTCAGCAGTGAACAAAAGAGACAAAAGTCTCAGCCCTATCTCATTGTATTGGTAGACCTAGCCTGTTGAATGATTTGTTTTAGCTGAGATGAAAACTGTGGCTGTGGGGGTGGGGGCACAGTGTTAATTCTGTCTGATGTGGAGGACTGATTTTAAGTTGTATGGATGAAGAATGTTGAGAAGAAATAGCAAAGGAATAAAGGAGATGAGGTAGAGGGTGCTTCAGGTAAGAGACCCAAATGCAAAGCTCTGAGGTGGAGCCTATCTGAGCATGGGGAGCATCTGAAGCTCATATAGTTGGAGAGGGATGGAAGGAAGGGACGCCTCAGGATGATCATGTGATTAGAACCACATCCCACAGGGCCTCCTTGATTGAACTTGAGCATTTACAGTGAATGAGATGGAAAGAATGATGCAGTTTGACTTGAATTATGTGTTGAGAAAAGGATGAAGCAGTGGGGAACATGCATCAAGGACAGAAGCAAGAGACTAGCGTAACTGGACTGAGAAGGGCAAAGAGAAGGTGATAAAAGGGCACATACCAGAAGAGGATATGCACTTGCCATTAGATTAGATGTGGATGTAAGGGAAGACAGTTTTTTTTAGCCCAGCCACCTGGAATGATGGAGTTGTTATTGAGATGTGGAAGATTGCAGAAGAGCAGGAGGAATGTCAGCTTGGACCTGTTCAAGAAGTTGTCAGAATAGGCAGTTGAGTAGAATAGCATTGAGCTTCCAAGACCAGCTACGGAGAAACCATGGAAAGAAACAGAGCAACCATAGAGAGTGCCTTATCAGGCAGGGACATCTCATTGAACACTGAGAATAAAATGTAAGTTTAAGCTTAAAACAATTTAGGTGTGGTGGCATATGTCTTTAATCTCAGTCTAGAGGCTGAGTAAGAAGACTGAGAATTCAAGGCCAGCTTGAGCTACAAAGCAAGACTCTGCTTCAAAATAAATAAATAGCCAATCTGATCACAACTCTCCAGTGGAAAATTCTCCGTACCCCAGTTAAACCTAGACATTAGGTATACATATATATTTCTGTGTATTAATGTTAACATAAAGCAGTGACAGTTTACCAATAGAAACAACTAATATACTTTAAGGTATATGGAAAACAACTAATACATTTTAGATATATGCCAAAAAAATAAGTAAATAGGTTGCATTGGGAAGGCAGGTACAGGGTGTAGTTGTAGGCAGGAGTTGTAGTTGGTATCAGGAGATGAAATTCCTGCTCACTGATTTGGAGCATTTTCTTAGGGTATGAGGCTGAGTTATCAGAAGGTGGGACAGGAGGGGTAGCATCTTGTGGTAGCACTGACAAGGTTGTTTATGTCTGACATGATTTTGTGTTTTTCAGAGTTTCATTGGGCAGTTAGGAGTGAGGAGGAGGGGGTACTCCAGGCAATTTTCTTGAAGCTAGAACTTCTCTCCATCTTTCAGAGTCTGAGCATCTCTCTGTGTCACGTGCTCTTCACGATGTTCTTGGATCATCACATTTAATCTTTCCATCAGTTCTGAGGCAGATCTCCCCTCTTCCCACACGTGCTCTGCTGGTGATTCAGGCCTGCAGGGCACTTGTAAGAAAGAACCAGAAATAATAGGACGTGCCTGGCATCCTCCTATGATGCCTAAGGTATGATAGCTGTGTTTTGTTTATATGTTTTCCCGAAACCTGTCTTAAGGGAATGTACTTTAGAATCTGGTGACCTTAGCATCCCAACATGTCAGAGAGCCACTAGAGCCTTTACTACTACACTTTGTCTTTGTTTATGTCTAAGATGGTATGTTTCTTTCAGAAGGTGAAGAGAGCGAACCTTTTCTCCCCTTAAAGATAAATGTAGCCTTTTCTAGCTTCAAACTCAAAAATCTTTTGTTTCAGCCTCCCAACTACTAGGTGTATAGGCATGCTCCACTAGGTCCAACTCCTATTAGTTTTTATATTGTAGCTAAGGTAGTTATTAAGCACAATAACCATAATAATAAACAGTTAATGAATTGAGGTGAGCCTGACTTAGAAAAGTTATCTTTATATGTTTAAGTTGGTTCTTAGCTAGGGATGTCTTCAACTTTTTTTTTTTTTTCTTTTTTTTGCTGGTTCTGGGGCTTGAATTCAGGGTCTAGAAGCTGTTCCTGAACTGCTTCTGCTCAAGGCTAGCACTGTATCACTTGAGCCACAGTACTACTTCCAGCCTTTTCTGAGTAGTTTATTGGAGATGAGTTTCACAAACTTTACTGCTACTGCCTGGACTGGCTTCGAACCATGATCCCCAGATCTTAGCCTGAGTAGCTAGGATTACAGTCCTGAGCTACTGGCCCCCTGCTGCCTCCTTTTTTAAAACAGTGGTCTTATATTGGCCACCCTTGGGCTGACTGCTGTTAGATTTATGATTTGTGTTAGAATTTTGTGCTGCTTTAAAGAATTTGTGTAACAGGCAACATTCTGTCATCTATATGCCAAACTATTTCTGTTGGTTTTTTGTTGTTGCTTGTCTTTTTCTGCTAGTCCCAGCACTTGAACTCAGGGCCTAGGCACTGTCCCCGAGCTTCTTTTGCTCAAGGCTAGCACTCTACCATTTGAGCCACAGCGCTACTTCTAGCTTTTTTTTTTTTTTTTAATGTGGTACTGAGGAATTGAACCCAGGGCTTCATGTATCCTAGGCAAGCACTCTACTACTAAGCCACATTCCCAGATCTCTCTCTCTCTCTTTCGCTTGCTTTCTTTCTTTTTCTCTCTCTGTTTTTCTTTCTTTCTTTCTTTTTGGTCAGATGTGTAGGGCTTGAACTCTGGGCCTGGGCACTGTCCGTCAGCTCTTCAGCTCAAGGCAAGCACTCTAACACTTGAACTACAGTGCTTCCTGTATTCTGGTGATTTATTGGAGATAAGCATCTTCTGGACTTTCCTGCCTGGGTTGCTTTGAACTGAGATCCTCAGATCTCAGGCTCTGTAGTAGCTAGGATTTCAGGCATGAGCCACCAGCACCCGGCACTACTTCTGGTTATTTATTTTATTTTATTTTATTTTTGGTTGTCGATCGTGGGAGCCAAACTCTGGGCCTGAGCGCCATCTCTCAACTCAAGGCTAGTGCTTTACCACTTTAGCCACAAGGCCACTTTGGCTTTTTTCTGCTTATGTGGTGCTGAGGAATCCAAACCAGGGCCTCATGCATGCAAGGCAAGCACTCTGCAATTGAGCCAACTTCCCAGCCTGACTACTTCTGTTTTTTAAGCTACATTGTCCTGCATATGTTTTTTACTATGCCTGTTTTATTTCCCGGCCTCAGATATTTGAGTTTGCCCTGCTATCCTGATTTAATGATGAGGACTGAGCTCAGGGCAAAGCCCCTGAGCATCTCACCCCTTTTGACTGTTCAAAGAGAATATTATATTGAAAAATCTGTGAAAACCTGACATAAAGCCAGGCTTCTGGTGGTTCACGCCTGTAATCCTAGCTACTCAGGAGTCTGAGATCTGAGACTCAAGTTTTAAAACAAGCCCCGACAGGACAGTCCCTGAGACTCTTATCTCCAATTAACCACTAAGAAAAACAACAGAAGTGGTGGCTCAAGTGATAGAGCACTAGCCTTGGCAAAAATGCTCAGGGAAAGCATGCAGACCTTGAGTTCAAAAAAGATGGCACAAAAAAGGAAAAAAGGGAGGAAGGAAGGAAGAAAACAAACTTCTGATTTGTCTTTCTGGTATCTGTCTAAGGCCTGTAGGAAGTCACAGTTCCTGTTTGCTCTTACTTTAGACTATATTCATGCCTCTTCACCAGGACCCTGCCTCACTTAAGAAACTGATGAGAAGTGGCGCTGTGACTCAAGTGGTAGAGTGCTAGTGAAGAGCTCAGGGACAGCCACCAGGCCTGGAGTTCAAGTCCCATGACTGACGAAAAAAGAAAACAGGAAGGAAGCAAGCAAGCAGGCAGGGGCTGGGAATGTGGCTTAGTGGTAGAGTGCTTGCCTAGCATGCCTGAAAGCCCTGGGTTTGATTCCTCAGTACCATATACACAGAAAAAGCCAGAAGTGACTGTGGCTCAAGTGGTAGAGCACTAGCTTTGAGCACAGAGAAGCTCAAGGACAGTGCCCAGGCCCTGAGTTCAAGCCCCAAGGACCAGCAAAAAAAAAAAAAGAAGAAGAAGAAGAAGAAGAAGCTGATGACTGGAAAGAGTCTAGGAAAAGGTGATAGAGACAAGTTTGGGCTGGAATTTTCCTTTGCTAAGGATAAATGAGATTATGAGACTGTTAAACTGTTAAGGAATATATTCTAGATAACCTTATGTAATTAAAAATTGTACTTTGGGGCTGGGAAGGTAGCTCAGTGGTAGAGTGCTTGCCTTGCATGCATGAAGCCCTGGGTTCAATTCCTTAGCACCACATAAGCAGAAAAAGCCCAAAATGGTGCTGTGGCTCAAGTGGTAGAGCGCTAGCCTTGAGCTGAAGAGCTGAAGGACAGCAGACCCAAAGTTTAGGCCCACCACCACCAAAAAAAAAATTGAGCCCAGTGTGGAGTACGCACTTATAATTTCAGCACTGGCTTTGAGGGAAGCCTGGGTTACATAGCAATACTCTGCTAAAAAAAAAAAAAAAAACAGAAACTCCTCTAATATGTAAAATATATGTGTAAATGTATAAGTATATTTTAACATTTCATATGCAGATGACTTTTACGTATGCTTTTTTGTTATTTTATTTTTTTAGTGCTGTGCTGGTGATTAAGCCTAGGGGCTCCAGTCTGCTGAACTGCTAGTACAATACTCTGAGCTACATCTGTAGCCGACATGGTGTTTTTATTGTTTTTGGTTTTGGTGTGTGTGTGTGTGGTAGTACTAGAGATGAACTCATGGCCTTCCACATGCTAGCAAGTGCTCACATTTGCTTGGGGCAAAGGGTAACACTGAGATTGAACTCTGGGGGGCGGGGGGGTCTCACGTTTGCTAGGTAGTTTCTACCGCTTAAGCCATAACCTTTCTTTTGTTCTTTTCTTTTTTTCTTTTTTTTTTTTTGTTCGTTCTGTCTCTCTCTCAGAACCAGCTTGAGGGGCTGGGAAGGTGGCTTAGTGGTAGAGTGCTTGCCTTGCATGCATGAGGCCCTGGGTCCCATTCCTCAGCGCTACATAAGCAGAAAAAGCCGCAAGTGGCGCCGTGACTCAAGCCATAGAGTGCTAGCCTTGAGCTGAAGAGCTGAGGGACAGTGCCCAGGCCCAGAGTCCAGGCCCCACGACTAACAAAATAATAATAATGATGATGATGATGATCAGCTTGAGATCACATTCCTACTATCATATGCTTCTTGTATAACTGGCATCACAGGCACAAGCAACTATACCTGGATTGTTATTTGATATGGGATCTTGCTAATTGCTTGCCCACGCTTGGTCTCTGCCTCCTTAGTAGCTGGGAATACAGCCATGAAACATAGTTTATGCTTGCTGGGCATATGTCCATTTGATATACCTTCAAATGGACATAGAAGCTTTTTTTTTAATTTCTGCCAATACTTGAACTCAGGGCTTCATACTCTTAACTTTTTTGCTAAGTGGTGCTTTACCACTTAAGCCATAGTTCCCCTTCTGGCTTTTGAGGGTTAATTGGAGATAAGAGTTCAATGGTCTTTTCTGCCCAGTCTGGCTTTGAACCATAACGCTCAGATTTCAGCCTCCTGAGTAGCTAGAGTTACAAGTGTGAGCCACTGGTGCCCATCCACATAGGCTTTTATACTTTTTAAAATGTGAGGATTCTTTTTTTTCCCGCTCCAGATGTTGTACATATTGAGATTAATCTTAACATTTCAATTTCATAATTCAGGACGCTTTCAAAATGTAACCACGTAGGATACACACATCCCAAACTTAATCTTTTCCCTTTTTCTTGATTTCCAGATTCCTGTTAATTCGTTTAAAAGAATTTTGTGGAGAATTTCTCAAGAAAAAACTTCATCTTTCAAATTGTGTGGCCATTCATAGCTTAGCTCACATGTACACCCTGAGCCAACTTGCTCTGAAAGCTGCCGATATGATACGGAGGAATTTCTACAAAGTCATTCAGGATGAGGAATTTTATACTTTACCCTTCCATCTCATTCGAGACTGGCTTTCTGACTTGGAAATTACTGTTGATTCGGAAGAGGTTCTCTTTGAAACAGTTTTGAAGTGGGTTCAGAGAAATGCTGAAGAGCGAGAGAGATACTTTGAAGAACTTTTTAAATTGCTCAGGTTGTCCCAGATGAAGCCTACCTACCTCACTCGTCATGTCAAACCAGAGAGGCTGGTGGCCAGTAATGAAGTTTGCGTCAAGCTGGTGGCTGATGCGGTGGAGAGGCATGCTCTGAGAGCTGAGAACATACAATCTGGCACATTGCAACATCCTGCTTCTCATGTGTCATTATTACCCCGTTATGGGCAAAACATGGATGTGATCATGGTTATTGGAGGTGTGTCTGAAGGAGGAGACTATTTGAGTGAATGTGTGGGATATTTTGTTGATGAGGATAGATGGGTAAACCTGCCCCATATTCACAATCATCTTGATGGGCATGCTGTCGCAGTAACAGAATCCTATGTGTATGTTGCCGGATCAATGGAACCAGGCTTTGCTAAGACTGTGGAAAGATACAACCCAAATTTGAACACATGGGAACATGTTTGTAGTCTGATGACAAGAAAGCATTCTTTTGGGCTAACGGAAGTCAAAGGCAAGCTATATAGCATTGGAGGACATGGCAACTTCAGTCCTGGCTTTAAAGATGTGACTGTTTACAATCCCGAACTTGATAAATGGCACAACTTGGAATCTGCACCGAAGATTCTTCGTGATGTCAAAGCACTGGCCATAGAAGATCGGTTTGTGTACATTGCTGCCCGCACTCCTGTGGACCGGGACACTGAGGATGGTTTAAAGGCTGTGATTACATGCTATGATACTGAGACTCGACAATGGCGAGATGTGGAATCGTTGCCCCTTATTGACAATTACTGTTTTTTCCAGATGTCTGTGGTCAACTCAAACTTTTATCAGACTGCATCGTGCTGTCCCAAGAGTTATTCTTTAGAAAATGAAGAGGCAGTAAAAAAAATCACCAACCATGTGTCTGATGAGATCCTTGAGAGCTTGCCTCCAGAAGTCCTAAGCATTGAAGGGGCAGCCATTTGCTATTACAAAGATGATGTCTTTATTATTGGAGGCTGGAAAAACAGTGATGATATTGACAAACAGTATCGGAAAGAAGCCTACAGGTACTGTGCTGAGAGAAAGAGGTGGATGCTCCTTCCTCCCATGCCACAGCCTCGTTGTAGAGCCACCGCTTGTCACGTCAGGATCCCATACCGGTACTTGCACGGCACACAAAGATACCCGATGCCTCAAAACCTAATGTGGCAGAAGGACCGCATTAGACAGATGCAAGAAATACATCGGCACGCCCTGAACATGCGGCGAGTACCAAGCTCACAGATAGAATGCTAAATTCTCTAACACATGCAGCTAAAAACTTCTCCCTGTGTCGTATGACTGAAGATACCCAGACTGTTAACTTGAAAAAGTATGTTGGTAACTTATTTTCTAGCTGGATTGATTGTTAGCCCATGTAAAGGAAGGGTAGTTAAGAACTGAAGAATGGGAAACTCAGTCCAATACATGGTAATCTTTGTTGTTTTGCAATCTTATATCTTTGTGTGGGTGTACTAGCTAAATCTTATTAAAGACAAGTGGAAAAAGCAGGTCTTGTTACTTGAGGCTGTTCTGCCAACCAGTTATAATTCCTTTGTTTTAGAGACTTGTGTTTTGGGCTTTAAGCACCACTTTTATTTGCACATTTTCTTTGATGTTCCTTTTCACTTTCTATAGAATGGTTCACAAGAGCAGAGTTTATGTATTAAGCTCTCATCTGCAGGAGGTATGTGCAATAGTAAGACTGAAACCTGAAGAGAAAGCACAGTGTTTCAGGAAGATGCTTTCAGAGTATTTACATTGATGTTTTGTTGTATGTGTTTATCTAGAAATGGTGTTTTGTTCATATAAAGAAGAGGTGACTGATGAGAAATTTGTGGTTACCTCATGTATTTAAATATACATATTTTCACTTTAGCAGCTGTTTATAAATTTCAAACCATCGCTCTGAGACGATGGCAGTTGGCTAGTATATTAATCTTTAGCTGATTGATGGAATGCAGACAAAAGTTACATATATGAAATTTGTTTCTCTAAGAATTATAACTATAGACTGAGAAATCAAAAGAGGTGCAAGATCGAGGACATGTTAATGAACTTAAATAATGCCTATGACAATCAACACTCAATGCCTTCAGTTTTAATTTTTGTTCTAATACATACCATATTGAATCTTCCTCTTTTTTTTCCTATAAGTAACTGTTTTCAAAATGGAAGAGAATAACAAGTTAGAGAAATATTTCCCTGCTTATTTTATCCAGTTTCCCTACACTTTCATTAGAACTTTGCCTGAGCCTAGAATACCAAATTTGGGTATATAGTTTTGGCTTAAAAAAATTTATCACTACAGTTATCCTTTTGTTTTTGTTCATTCTTTATTTTTGTGTATTTTTCGCTTTTGTTCATTCTTCTGACACTCTCCCTAGCTTTACACAAGTTAGCACTCAGGCTGAATATTTTTAGTGTTCCGTTGATCTGATAATTTGCACTGTGCATCCACTTTTTTTTTTTCTTTTTAGGCACGAACTCGTTATGTAGCCTCAGTCTCCTGAGTGGTGGGATTACAGGCATGTGATAACACACCCAACTTATTTTTTATTTCTTAAAGAATAGTTCCCTTTTTAGACATTATGGAATACCATTCTAGAAGTCACAGTTCAAGATTTATCACTCTAGTTCTTGTAATTAACCTTCTTATTGTGTGATCAGACATCAAATGAAAAAAGCACAACCAGAACATGTAGCTGTTTTGCTGCAAGATTTCATGTTTTAGCTCTTAGATTCTATATAGTAAGAACTTTTCCTGAAATTTCTAAATTAGTATCCCTGCCTAGAACAAAAGTTTTTAATAAATATATTGGAACTCTTACACTGGAATGAGGCTGGGAAATTGCAAATTGATTTCTACACAAGAATATATTGCATACTACTCTTCTTTTTCTCAATTTCCATTTCTTTATAGTTACTTCAGTGATTGCCTTTGGTGTCTGAGCAGCACTACAGCTTAGTGATGAGGAGGCCATGCAGTTAGAAATCATTGACTGAAGCTCCTGGAATGAACTTTGTTTCATAAACTGTGTGACCAAACCTGTTCTTGGTTGTGTTGAAATAATTCAGTGTCACAACAAGGATGCGAGTTTTTCTCCAAAAGTGTGTGATATAGTTGGGGTTTTTTTTTTTAAGAATTGTCTTGTGAGACAGTCACTACCCGTTGTTTTGTTAGGGTCTTTACATGATATAGCAGAAGTTTTAGGTATAGTCTGGTTTTGAAAACTTGATTGAAACTTGTCTTTTTCTTAACTCAGCAGCAGCCTAGGCCCGGGCTGAAAGAAGGGGGGTAAGTCCTTGCATGATGATGTGTGCAGGTTTTTCTGACTACTGAGTTTCTAATTTTTATACTTAAATTCACGTGTGACTTCACATCAGTAATTTGTGTTTCCTAAGTACCCTAACTTGTTAATAAGGATAGAAATCAGATTTGCTTAAATCTGTTCAAGGCTGACATTCTGAAATTCTAAACTGAAAGGAACTTGAGGACTTGGAACGGTTCTAAGTATGTTGGTGAAGTCTAATGTGGCTCTTTGGGAAAGAAAGTTTCCTTTCTGATAAAAAGGTAAAGATTGTGTTTGGTCATATAACCAGTTAAAAACACGGCTTTTTAAAAGATTGCCTAAGGTGTATTCAAGTAAACATTTTTTGTTGGTTTGTTTTTGGTGGAGAGGAATGAATTAGACCAAAGGTGATAACCATAAACAAATATATATATTATATATATATATATATAACTTCCAGGGAGGCTGCTTCTACCTTACCTGGCTTTCCTTTGACTCTACCTTCCTACCTATGGATTAAAAACCAGTTGTATATGTGGAGAATGTCAGTCATGAGCTTAGTGTTTAAGTAATACATCACTTGCAGTTTTGCATGAATATTCTTGTGTATCTTAATAGTCAAATTTGCTTTTGTTGTGCCAGTCCAAAATAACTTTACCAAGAGCTCTTAAAATTCCGTCAGCATCAGTTTTGTTTTGATCATCTATCTGGTTGTGTGTAGTATTTCTGGGACCAAAAAAGTGAAACATACTAACCTTTTTAATAGGGAACATAAGTTTAAAGCTGGAGAGAAGTATTTATGGGAGCTTGTGCATTTGTGTGTTTTAAACCCTTCCAATTGCTGGTAAGGCAGTTCCTACTGCACACTTTATTATTATCTCTTGACCAGTATAGCATGTGATATGTTTAAAATAGTTCCTTTTCCACTTCATGATCCTGCTACCAACACCTATAATATCATAAAGTAGACAGGAATTGGTACTTTCCTCAAATGAAGCTTCCATTAAGGGCATGCTGGCCACGTTTCATGACTTTGAACGTGCACAGTATTGTGAAGCCAACACTCGGCCTGTACTAGAAAAATGCAGTGCTGTAACTGTAGCTTGTTTTTTGTCATTCACAGCTCATCACTCCAGTTTGTTTCTTGAAAAAAGTCCATTTTGTTGTTGTTATCCTTATGTTACAGCATGTATTCTGGTTCTTGGAAGCAGAACATCTCATAGTTGAGTGCCATAATACAATTGCATAACAGAATAGTCATTGTGCCTCAAAAAATTTAATTAGGTAGCCAAATTACTGCTCTTTGTCAGTCCCTTGTGGGACTTCTGTTTTACTCTGTGACCGTTGCTACAGTGTCTTACCTTGAAGCATATGTGCTAGAGTCCGTGTTAACTTAATCCTCCTGCTGCATGCACTTGTGAAAAGCAGTGCTTGCTAGGTGTTTGAAGATTTTATAATCCATGTCTAGGGCTGTCAGTTGTAAAATAAATAGTGAGTTGATAACAGTTTTTTGGGCTAGTGGTACAAGCCCGTTTGCAAGGTCTTGACTTTCTCCCTTCAAGTCAGAGGTGATGTAGTATTTAGAATGCCTAGAGACATTATGTTGTAAAATAACTTGTTTTTGTTTCTAAAACTATCTGGTTCTGTCTTAAAGCTACTAATTGTGTCAGTGTACATTTTCAATAAACATATTTCTTTAGAGCTGGCTTATACTGTGTGATTGTTTTCTTAATTGGGCATTGTTGAAAGTGATTACCATCTTCCTTACTCCCTCATTCATCCAACCCTATTTCCCTTAAGTTGAACATTTTCCAGTACTCTTACAGGTTCAAATACTGCATTTATTTAAAAAAAGAATTAATTCTTATTGCTTAGACTTTTTATTAGCTAAATGAAGAGGCTCATACAGGTAGGGTACTTGTCGAAGCGGAATACTTTACTTCATCTCGCAGTGCTAATCCTGTGAAGTTGTCCCGTCTGGCTGCATATTCCCCAACATTGGCCAGCCCTGGTACCACGCAGCAGCTCAGAGCACTGCGGTATATGCTCATGTCATGAGCATCATACCACTCGTCGGTCTTTTCATCATAGCACTCAACATTAAAGGTGGTGGTAAAGCCGTTAAAGCCCCCCACCACAAACAACAGGTCATCCACTACCTCGATGCCAAAATTGCTACGAGGATTAAACATAGTGGGTATGGTGCGCCAGGTGTTGGCTACTGGACTGTAGGCTTCTGCGCTCCGGAGTCGATTAGCCCCATCAAAGCCACCTACCTGTGGGTAGCAAAAGAAACACAATTGGCTGCCAATCATTGCATCTGGCCACTGAGGAAGCCCCAGATGGGGAAGGCCAGTGATACCATGCCTCTTCCTATAAATACTTACCCATGGTAGTCTAAACCTGTTTTGCTAATAGTAAATCTGGGGGTGTCATTTTGTTTGTGGCCATAGATGATAGACTCACCGCGTATACATGTTCCCCATAAGCAATGACACCTATTCCACTCCTCCTGCTCCTCATGGGTGCTATGACTGTCCACTGATTACTCTCAGTGTTGTACACTTCTGCTGTAAACAGGCATTCGTTTCCATTAAACCCACCACATATGTAGACCTGAGGGAAGAAAATACAATTACTAAGTACCAGCCTCTTTTTTTGTTGTTGTTGTTGGTCATGGGGCCTGAACTCTGGGCCTAGACACTGTCCCTCAGCTCTAGGCTAGTGCACTACCACTTGAGCCACAGCACCACTTCTGGCTTTTTCCGTTTATGTGGTACTGAGGAATTGAACCCAGGGCCTCATTCATGCAAAGCAAGCACTTTATCACTGAGCCACCTTCCCAACCCCTCCCTTTCTTCTTTAAACAATGCAAAATAGTAGCTATTTACATAGTATTTACATGATATTGGTATTAGAAGCAGTTTAAACATGATTTGAAGCATATGGGAGGATGTGCATAGGTTATATTCAATACTAGACCTTTTCTTGTGTGAAGGGCTTGGGGCTTTGAGCTCCCACAGAGCATTTTTGCTCAAGTCTGGTGCTCTACCACTTGAGCCACCTCCACTCCGATGTTTTTGCTGGTTAATTTGAGATAAGAGTTTTGAGGATTTGTCTGCCTGGGCTGGCTTTGAACTAAGATTTTCATATCTCAGCCTCCTGGGTAGCTAAAATTACAGTCATAAGGCACCAGTGCCTGGCTACCATACCATTTTATACAAGAGACATGAGCATCTGTATTACAGGTAATCTATCCATTTTTGTATCTACATGGGTCCTGGAACCAATCACCTGCAGATACCAAAGCATACTAGTACTATAAAGTGAGTATTGAGGATAATATTGCTTGTTAGCCATCCTCCAAAACAACAGAAGCCGGGCACTGGAGGCTCACACCTATAATCCTAGCTACTCAGGAAGCTGAGATCTAAGGATCGTGGTTCAAAGCCAGCCCAAAGTCTGTGAGAATTTTTTTTTCTGGTCGGTTGTGAGGCTTGAACTCTGGGATTGGGCGCTGTCCCTGCGATCTTCAGCTCAAGATGAGCACTCTACGCTTAAGCCACAGCGCCATTTCCGGTTTTCTAGTGGTTTTATTGGAGATAAGAGTCTCACGGACTTTCCTGCCCGGGCTGGCTTTAAACTGTGATCCTCAGATCTCAGCCTCCTGAGTAACTAGGATTACAGGCATGAGCCACTGGCGCCCAGCTTCTGTGAGACTTTTATCTCCAATTAACCACCAGAAAACAAGACATGGCACTGTAGCTCAAGTGGTAGAGCACTTGCATTGAGCTGAAGAGCTCAGAGACAGCACCTAGGCCCAGAGCTCAAGCCCCATGACCGATTTAAATAAAAGAAAAAGAACAATCATTTCTGGACTTATCCGTTGCTTCTGTGTCTCCCCAACTTGGTTCTTTACCTTCCCATACAGTGTTGTGGCACTTGCGTCACTCCTCTGCTCGTGCATGGGGGCAATGAGCGTCCATTGATTGGTCTCTGGCTCGTAACGTTCAGCAGTGTTGAGACGCACGTAGCCGTCAAATCCTCCCATGGCATAAATGAAATTGCTGAGGACTGTCACGCTGACATAGCAACGTCTGGAGTGCATCGGGGCCACTTGGTGCCAAGTTTTCTTCACTGGGTCAAAACGCTTAACACTATTGAAGTAGTCTACGCTATCAAACCCCCCAATGATATAAACATAGCCTTTCAAATAGGCTGCCCCATGGTAGGCACGGGGACTCTCTTCCTCACAAGTAACATTCACCCATCTGTCTGCACGAGCGTCATATGCCTCAATGGCATTGGTGGGGCTCCCACCGCTCCAGCCACCAATTGCAAATAGGATGGCATAGGGCAGGCGGGGCCTGGTAAGTGGGTTGGTGAAGTCAGAATTGGAGGGTCCGTTCATGTTTAGGTCATACATGGCCTTTAGGGCGTTAATGATGACTGGCTTGCATTCCTCACTATCTTTGACATAGTCATTCATCTTAACGTTATTCATGAAGTACTCAGCATGCATTAGAGCCAGGCGAACCTAAGAAGGAAATACAGAAAGTCATTCAGATGAGGTGAGGATGCCAGAAGTTCCATATCCTTAATCCCTATTTTATAGTCTGCCTCTAGATTACTGGGAATGTTTGTTGGCTTGCTTTTGTTTTCTTTTTAATGTGTGCTCATAGTTTAAATATTTGTTTTGGGGAGGTGGTGTACTCCCAAAAGAGTACTATGAAGAATGAGTTAGAAGAGAGTAGTGCTGAGAATGAGCTAGATAGAAGGCTGCTGACAAGGTCACAGATCTACCCATTGCTTGGTCACAGTACAGTTTTGTAAGACCCAAAACAAGCTATGATAATTATGCAGAAATTAAATACATCTCTATGTATTTAACACTAAGGATTGTGAAGCTAGCCGAGGCAGGAAAGTCCATGAGACTCTTATTTCCAATTAACAACGAAAAAGCTGGAAGTAGAGTTATGACTCAAGTGGTAGAGCACAAGCCTTGAGCAAAAGAGCTCAGGGACCGTGCCCAGGCCCTGAGTTCAAGCTCAGCATCAGCGTACACATGCGCGCACACATACAAATACCACCAACTAGTTACAAGTTTGTGCACTCCTCATGATTTGCTTTCCAGCTCACTTTGGACCTAAGGTTTGGGGAATTCATTTAATAGAAATTCTTTAGATTCCAAAGGGGAAAGAAAATTACAAAATTCCAGAGAATAGGAGATACTCTCTATATTAGTGCCTATAAATAAAGCCCTGGGATCTGTCAATTCTCTGGGACAAATGAATCAAGAATGAGCAAGTAAGCATTTTCAAAGAATAACTTGACCTTAGGAAGCAAAACTGAAATGTGCTGCTTCCTATTTTGGGGGTCATGAGAAATCCACTTTAAAATGGCCTCAAATACAGCGTCTTCCTGTTTGACATTAAGCTCATCTTTCTCAATGATATCCTTAAGTTCAGTGACTGAGAGCTCTAGAAACTCTGCTGAGACTTTCACCATCTCCTCGAAGTTGTGCAGTATGAACATGTAGGCCTTCTGCCTCAGCTCAGGGCAATAGTAGTAGTCCGTGAACTTGCAGATGCCGATACAATTATCCAAACACAGCTCCGACTTGAGGAACTCGCAGCAACCCCTGACAATACCCATGATGTTAAATTGATCTGCAGCAGCCAGTAGCTTCTCCACGTTGTCCGGGGTGATAGGCACAGTTCGGGTATATGCATACTCAATAATTAGCTTCATCATGTCGGGGGAAATGCCAGGAATGTTGTATACCTTCTTCTCAGTGTTGTTCCAGCCACTGGTAAATAAAGCTCTGAAAAAAAGAAAGAAATTGGCAGCCTCTTGTCATCCATATCCTCCCCACACCAGGCCTCCTTTTCTTCTTGTTTTCCAAATAGGACAATAAGTGTGTTGGAAATAGAGTGGCCTGAGCAAGTGGGGGACAAACATAGTCTTTATACAATAAGGGGGGAGAGAGAGACAGAGAGAGAGAGGGAGAGAGATACTTTCCAGGAGAATTGGCTGGTCACTGTATCCTCGTGATAACACGATCTTTTTTTCTTCTGTTTTTGAATGAAGACATTGAGATCTAGAATGGGAAGTAAGTAAGATCCCATATCTCTCTTCTGTTGGTGAGAAGTTAAGCTAGCTGGATGCTGGTGGTGAACACCTGTAATCCTAGCTACTCAGGAGGTTGAGATCTGAGTATTGAGGCTTGAAACAAGCCTGGGGTAGAAAGTCTGTGAGATTCTTTATCTCCAATTAACCACCTAAAAGTGAAGCTGTGGCACAAAGTAGTAGAGCACTAGTCCTGAGCAAAAACTCAGGGATAGTGCCCAGGCCCTGAATTCAAGCCCCAATACACACACACACACACACACACACACACACACACACAGAGACACACACACACAGAGGAAAGGAATGAAAGAAGAAATAAGGCTATACTTCTTAATAAATATTCAAGCCAATGGCTCACACCTATAATCCTAGCTATGAAAGAGGCTGAGATCTGGAGGACTAAGTTTCAGAGTCAGCCTGGATAGAAAAGTCTTCAATATTCTCTCTCCAAAATAAACAATAAGAAAGCAGGGTGGAGGCATGGCTTAAGTGATAGAGTACAAGATCTTTATTTTAAACTCCAGTATCATATACATACATGCATGCATACATGTGTACATACACACATACATGT